AGTACAGAACTTGACTGGAATGGTACCCTGAGATGCGAAATTAATCCATTCCAGAGTGACGTTCGTATCTCAAATATTTCGTATTTCGAAGCAAGTTTTACATGTAAAACGCCTAATCCGTGCAACGGCTCTCAGAAACAAAAGCATAAGTAGATGAAAAAATTGGAAAACCAAAAAAAACGAGTAGCGTTTCTTCAATCCTTAAAACATAATAAAACAGAATAAAACACATTTGTTTTAGCACAATATTGGTAATCTATACATTATGTTTCACTCGATTTAAAACTGATTTAAAGTGTTTTGAAGCGTTTCAGACCCTTTTTGCACTGGTAAACCCTTTGAAACAAATATGTCCATAAGAACTGGCAGAAAAAAAGTGGAGGTTAGTCTTGAAAGAATCTTCATGGAAGAGATGCAGTCAAAAGGTCTACCTTCAACATGGGAACAAGGCTAAGTGATGTCTGGGGCTTTATTTATACATAGAGTTGGTCAGGATTATTGGTGTTATAGGAGTTTGTCAGGTACTACCAGCTGGACAATGGCCCCAAACATACAGTCAACATTACAAAGAACTAACTTGAGTGTAAAGAAGAACAAGATGTACCGGACAAAAAAGTGGTGGGATGGCCCCCACAGAGCCCTGATCTCAACACTGAGTGTGTTATTTTTTATCCAACGATACAAATTAAATTTATGGGCAAAGCTGAAATAAAGTATAAAATATTTGCCAATAAAAAATGAGTTTCCATCCAATGAGTCCAAGAGAACAAAATGATCACTTCCTGATAAACTGGTGCCAAATATCAAAAGAAAAATAGAAGTTACTGCATTATGGGAAGAACTTTTTCGTAAATAATAATTTATATGTGTCTTAGAACATGTAGATAAAAGGCAATACTCGCATTCATATGATCTAGCTTTACGAGGCGGAAGACTGCTCTTTGGGAACGCAGCAGGTCAAGACCAAAGCCACTTTGATGACAGACTTTGGTTAAACAACATTTCAGAAGTTGTGCAATGATATCAGTCTGCTGGATGGTCCATTAATGCCAACCGATTGCGTGTCCCATTTTTGACAGATAAATGCAATGCCATTGATTCAGTAAATAGTGGATTTAATCAGTAAATAGGTTTACATCGTTTATGCACATTTTCCTTTTTCGTGGCATTGTCGTTTTGTAGTTGGCAATCAGGTTTGCACACATCTCAGGATTTCGCCTGCCTCCTTTTTATAAAGCAGTTTTATCCTTTGTCCCTCAATAGATTTTCAGTGGGATTAAGGCTAGATCACTCCAGAACCCTAATGTGTTTGTTCTCATGACACTTCATTTTACCTTATCTGTTTTGGTTCGTTGTGATTTTGAAATACTCATCTATAACTCAATTCAATGCACCAGTAAATGGAATGATGTTTTCACAAAGGGCTGAAAAGGTGCCTTACATTCTGTTTGTGGAAGGGGGTTGTGTTTTGGGTTCATAAGCACCACATTTTCTTAGCTAGATTCCTCCGTTTGTCTTTCTCTTTCGAGAGCACTTAACAAATAATAAAAAAACCCTTCTACCATCTGATTAGAATGTGTTTTGCTCTAATCAGACGCCCTTCTTATATTTCCCTATTTCCCTTTCCTCCTCATAACCCGGCAGTCACACTACTAAGAAAGTTCCATTGACTTGAATGCAAATACAGTGGTCCCCTGAGATACAAATTGATCCGTTCCAAGGTGATGTTGGTATCTCGAACATTTCGTATCTCGAAGCAAGTTTTACATGTAAAACGCCTAATCCGTGCAACGGCTCTCAGAAACAACAGTATAAGTAGATGAAAAAATTGGAAAACTCAAGTAATGTTTTTAATTTAAAATTAATTGATAGTAAAACACATTTGTTTTAGCACATTATTGGTAATCTATACATAATGTTTCACTCTCCTAAAGTGTTTTGAAGCGTAGCAGACCCTTTTTGCACTGGCAAATAGGAGTGACAGGATCCGGAAGCGCAGCACGACGTCATACAAACAAGCGGATAATAGAGCAGAAGTGCTTGTGGTTGTTCGTATGTCAAACATGTAACTCAAAGCATTCGTATCTCAGGGTACCACAGTATATAACTGATCAATTGTTTTCGAGTCTTGTCCTGGATCTGTGTCTTGTTTGCCCCAGCTGTGAGTTATTACCTCTATACTTTCATGAGACTGTGGTTGTCGGGAACTGGGAAGCTCACCACAGCCCTGCTGGCTTTCATCTGCTAGATAACCTGTGCATGGCGACCTGAGTATGTACTCCTGAAGACTGTTTGCTGTGCTCGCTTGCTGTTACCGAATGGCATCATTGAGTGATAATTCAGTCCTCCAGACTGCTTGCTGTTAATTTGACCTGAAAACGATCTATGCATTAATATTTAAGCCACCGGCATTTAAGCATCGAATAAATCAGAGGATCCTGCAATTGAGTTCTCTGTGCTTACTTACGCACCTAACAAAACAGTTTAACAGTTATGGACCCAGCAAGAGAAAACCTGTTTCAAAATGCACTGAGGAGAAAATGGGTGTTTCTGGGCTGCCACAACGAATAACTCACATCAACCCATTACACCAAGCAGAGCCTCCAAGCCCAAGCCACTGATCTCACCGCCCAGCTGAGTATGTTCCACTACAGCGAGACGCTGTTGGCAGGATATGCAGAGCCTGGTATCAATAACCCGTCCTGCTACAGTAGTCAATTTCACCAAATTAGATCTGCGTAAAGCTTATCACCTCAGCTGCCGCCAGATTGCCTTTAACGCGCCTCTCGGGCACTTCAAGTACCATGTTCTTCTGTTCGGCCTAGCAATGCCCCTGCTATCTTTAAAGCAATAATCAACAATCTATTATATGACATGCTTTCGATTATTTAGATGACATCCTGATTTTCTTCACAAATATAAAGTCTATCTAGTCCTTCAGAGGTTACTCGAGAACTTATTATTAGTTTATGCAAAAAAGTGCAGTATTCAGTGCCAGAGGGGTGTCTGTGGACCCCTAAAAGATTTGGGCAGTCTCTTAGTGGGCAGTTCGGGTAGTCTTGCATCACCCTCAGATGCTTTCTTGGGTTTGCCAATTTCTAAAGGTGGTTTTTCGGAGATTTCGATCAGACTGCACTTCCTTTAATTTCCACCATGTTGGTCAAGACACACTTCAGATTCACCTTGGTTCCTATCCTCATCACCCCAGATTTCACCAAACAATTATTGGGGAGGCCATTCTCTCATACCATGCAGAAGAATATTATCGTTCTCGAGCGGTAATACTATAACGTAGGTAAATTTGGTTTGCTCCTGTCTTGTGTGTGCACGTAACAAGGCCGGGGCAGCATCACCGACCTATTGCTTGTCAAGGCAGAAATATGTGCCTTCCACTCTGAGTGTGTAGTCTTCCTCTGGCATGTAATGCCTTTGTTTCACTGTCCATGTAGGGCTGTGACTTCCATTTAAAAATGCAAGTTTACATGAAAACTCCCCCTTTTCAAAACACACTGGTATTAATGGACCGGGCCTCATAGTCTGATGAGGGGGGCATTTCTTTGTTGGAATGTTTGAGTTACCTGGCCCTGCCCCCTGAAACAGAGGTAGCTGTGTTTCTGCTTAGAGCTAGTTCTTGTTAGATGCTTGCAGTTTTTCATCTTTCAAAAGACCCAAGTTTTCTACATGCTGTGTATGTTTACATAATCAACAAACAAAGGATAATGCTATTCTGGTTTATCTGTCACTGCATGTAATAAAATCAATTTCCACTGTATATCAGAAGCTATAAATAATTTTTCTCATTCACAAGAGGGAACTAATTTTAGGACATATTTGCAAATGGAGACTTGCAGTTAACAAAGCTGCACCAGTTTAATGTTTTGCTATTCATACTCTAAATTCAGGCTGTTTTCTACACTGAACAGTGCAGGTTCAACACATTTATTTTTATTTTTAGCCCTGTCAAATATATGACATGTCACTGATAACAGATTATAATAATGAGAGTGACATACAAATGCTAGCTAAATATTTACCAACTGATGGATCACTGAAAAAATGTTAGTATTTGTGAAAAATCTCACCATCAATCCATGGAAACGTCATTTAGTTTTAGAATAATAGTATGTATTAACATGAACTAAAACTATTAAGCATTATCTGACATCCAACAAGGCCTGTTTTATTGTCATACTATACACAAGATACTAAGGCGTTAAAGAAAAATTGCAAAAGGTAAATGGCAAAATGGCTTTTGGTTAGTTTGAAATTGATGGCCATATTAAAGGTTCATTCATGCAAACGGTAAACAGATGGTAAACAAAATGGTTAAAAACCCTCGCTACCTTGAAACCAGCTCACTCAGCTAAAACACTCTAAATTGCTGAATAGTACAGTAGCTCACTGGAGCACATCATTAAGTTTTATCAGGAGACTATAACATATGTTTACTACATCGCAATGGTAATGTACTGGAGAAACTTGAAAGGCTCTCACAGACCAAACCCAACGGGTGTATAATGTGTAAATTCCATTAAAGAAGCCAATTGAGTGTTAACATTTAAGGCCTTTTCAATGACTTACTCCCCTGAGAGTCTAACAAATATATGCAGAAATGGATCAAGATCTTTTTTCCTCTTGCATTATGCGAATGTTTTAAAGCTGAAGTGATGTGCATTCACATTCTGAATAAAAAATTTCACAAGCAATGAATGTTTATAAACTGTCCAAACATGTATTATTGGTTTTCTCTATAGTATACTTGCACCGAACCTCGCGACACCCTTTCTAAAATTACACATCTCACGTATTTCTTGTTTGTCCGCAATCCAAAATGATTTTTACAATTTTGCACAGGGTTCTGCTGGCTAAAGGCAGGGGTACATTATGGACAGGTCACAGTCCACTGCAGGGCAACTCACACATCCACACTTAATGGGAATGTAGAGTATTCAATTAAGCAAACCGCATATTTTTAAGATTTTGGGGGAAACCGGAGTAGGGCAGTGGTGGCCTAGTGGATAAGGTGATTGACTGGGGGTCAAAAGGTTGCTGGTTCAAATCATAGCTCCTTTGGGAGTCTAAGGTTAGATGAGCACAGTGTGTTTGTTCACTGCTGTTTTGAATGGGTGAAATGCAGACCACAATTTCCTCTGATCAGTCACTACATGTCACTTTCACACTAAGAGGAATTAAGAGTATTCAAAAGTAACCTAACTGCAAGTTTTTTGGGGAAGCCGGAGAACCTGACGGAAACCCACGCAAGCACGGTGGGAACATGCAGAACATTCATGGCACCCAACCAAGCATGTACAAAGCGGATTACACTTAATGGATAACACTTTACAACTCCAGTTCGTTTAATTTGGTCCGGACCAAGAGAAACAAGTGATACAATGTTGCAATCATCCGCAAATTTACTCCTCATTCACACCACACTGATCGCTCTGGTCCGCACTAGTGGAAAATACAGCCTCATGACATCATACATGACATCATACATATACTTCTGTACTGTTGGGTATTTGTAAAAGAATCTTACACTAAACCTCACAACACACTTCCTTTCTGAAATTATGTCAGAGGAATTCCACATAAGCATGGTGAGAACATCCATCCTCTCAGGAAGGCCATCATTTGGCTTCGAACAAGCAACCTTTTCAAGTAGAATGCTACCCACTGCACCACCATACCGCCAATAATTGAAATACCCGAAATACAATTTTACAAAGCATCTGCAAAAGTCATACTGAAATGGCACTTTTGAAGCTTTTGTGAGGCTTGCCACATTGTATCATCTGTTTGCAACTTTGCAGTAATCATCTCAACTTCAGCAAAAAAAGATTAGCCTTTGCTCAGAACAAAAGTGCTTAAACAAAACTTACGCAGCATCATCCAACTGGTGCTTTGGTTAAAAGTGTTCAGTTTGCAGAACTGACATGCAGCATAATCCACCTGCACACACAGCTGCTGATCCTGCCTGCCCACAAAATCACTGAACGACTGATCTCTAACAAGCCTGTGTCTCCTCCTGGTCCTCATCACCTGGCCAGCTGAAGCTATTTGTTCCCAGAATGCCTCAAGGCAGTCCGAGTCGCTCTTTCAGCAGCAGCAGTGATTTAGAGCAGCAACAGTCAGAGTGATTACATTGATGGAGCTGCAGCAAACACAACAAACTCTTTCTTTCCAGTGGATCTTCACCTCCAGGGCTGGACAATCTCACAGTCCATCACTGGTCAGACCCTTTTTCCTCAGCCCACCCAGTGTCACTAATTTTTTTGTGGCAGTGCAGGAAAATAAAGGAGATTAGGATTCACTCAAGATGACGTGAAATCCATAGACACTAAATTATGAACTGATTTCTTAACAGAAGGGTTCACGCAAAAAGATGTTGGAGTATGACTTAATACAAGGATGAGGTTAGGGAACTAAATTATAGTAAATTTTATCATACTTTTTTTTTGTGGAAATAGATTGAGATGGTTTGGACATGTGCAGAGGAGGGATAGGGGTTATATTGGTAGCCTTCTTTCATGGCTTTATTTAGCTGAAAAACCGTCTAATATCCATTGTTTCTGCCTTTTTTCACTCAAAAAGTATCTGGCTCATTCCAGGCAGAGCGGTACAAATACTTAAGATCAGATCAACCAATAAAAACATGCTCCACTCAATCCTTGTCTCTGATTGGTCTTGGGTAATGAAGTCATTTCTTTAGTGGCTCATTAATCTACAGTTCTACTGTATTTATTATTTCTTCTGAAGTTTGGGAATCCCAGGCATAGAACATGTTGATATGCATTGAATAATTACAGAATTGTGGTGAAGGTGTGTCACCCTCTGATCATCATCAGATTCTGCCTCAAAGAGGTATAGCATAATGTTTCCTCCAAACGTCATTACAGCGTATATCATTGTTGCTTTAGTAAACGGTTGATAGGGTAATTAACGCAATTAATCACTCTAATCTCGCTCACATCTACGTTGATCTTCAGACAGTAACTTGATTACTGTCTGATTATGCAAAATCATTAACCAATAGGTGAGTAACTGGGGAGTAGTTACAACATTTTCTGAATCAAAATCTCATCCCATTGCCAGAATAAGCCTGGGATAGAAAATTTAATGCGATTTAAAAAAAAAAAAAAGAGACTTTTTGAGTAAATGAATCACATTTCCTACACAAATAGACCAATGTGAACAGCATATTAGTGAAAATAAAACATTATTATGACCACTTTAAATATATATTATATCGGATAGAAACAGTGACATTTCATAAGTGAAATAAGGTTCAAGTTATTTATGGAAAATATGTAAGTATTATTCAAACATAATTTAGTATGCTTGTAATTTTATCAATTTCAATACCTTTAGCGCTACTTATGAGGACTGAAAAATTGGTTTGGTAGACTCAGTGAACCTTGATCTCCATACACAGGTGAATTCAATCATGAAACAGAATTTAAAAGAGGTCAATTGTAAGTTGCTCTAAAGAGTGGCAGCATGGGAGCCTAAAAAAAAACTCTCAGACGAGATGAAAAAAATTGTTGTTGAACATCACGGTTAAGAGGATGGATACAGAAAGCTCTCAAAGATTTAAGTTCCCGGTTTCAACTATGAGGAGCTGCAAGACCAGAGGCAAAGTTGTAGTTAAGGTCTGAAGTGACAGACCAAGAAAAATGCAAGATGGTGAGAACAGTCACAGTCAACCCACAGACCAGCTCAAAAAGCTTACAACAAAGAGATGCTATATGGATGAGAAATGCGGAAAAAGCCTTTTCTCTGAATGGTGTCACTTGAGGTCTGCAAAATGTTTAAACCTGAATGAGGAACAGCCAACATCTGCCACCAAGATTGAGCACAGCAACAAGATACAAAGTAGTTACAATGCATCAACAAGGTTTCTCCCAAAGCTTTCAAAGCATGCTGGGGTTTCAAAATGAGCAACATTGAAGATTGTAGGTATAGTGATCAGCAAACAAAACTTGTTCAGCAGATGAAACCAGTGGGACACAGGTACACTCATCTACTGTCTGGAGCACTGATACTAATGGAAGAGTTGGAGTGAAAAAAGCCATACCTCCTTCGTGGGAAAAAGGACAAGCACAAAAATATTAGAACTAGTAGGTACAGGTGGTCCAGACTCATGATTTCTACATTCGCCCCTTATTCAGCAGCTTTTGCCTACAGTTTAGTATAGATACTGAATCCGATTAGGCAAAAAGCATTTCAGTTCATGGTTCTATCTCAAGAAGGTATATTTAAAATGTGATACTTTTAGGACCAGCAGCAAATGAAACATTGATATTTTATTTGCTAACTATTTAATACATGTATTATAACATTCAATAACTTTTCTACTATTTCAGAAGTAGAATTCTATCCTCTCTTCTCGATAAATTGGTTCAGTTTGCTTTTACTTTTAATTCTAGCTGTTTATACAAATGCGTTTTCAAATGGCAAAAAAAAAATCCATCAATATGCAAATTATAGCGATGCATGAAATTAACTATTTCCAAGACACTTAAATATTCATGAACACGTCGCTGCGCTGAATCTTGTCACATTTAATTTATTCAGTCAAGCTGGTGCTTAATTATTGAATTGGTATATACAGCACCTCATGTGGTTATAAACTGGTAGTCCATCCATCTTTCTACAGCTCTTAATTTTATCCAGGTGTCTGTCTGGACAAATGAGAGCACTTGATGACTGATGTTTAATTAATTCTTATCTGAGGAGTTAATTCATGTGTAGAGCACAAAAATCTCAGTCTCGTCCAGGCAGCTGCAGATGTCTAGTACAGTAACAGTGCAGATATTTGAGGTAGGGGAAATTGCAAAAAAAGATGACTCTTAATTATTCAAAATATAAAAACGGTGGTAAAATATCGAACACTTCACTGTTCGTACAACCTGTCCGGTCTGTCATAGATGATCAAGCCCCCTAACGGGAGCACATCTGGATGGGACGTTCACACTACTTCTGAACAACAATTCACTATAAAACATGTCTAAATAGTAGCAGAATGCTCTCTAATCTACTTTAAGGAAATATTGACGTCCTAAAAATTTACATTTACTTAATATTAAGTGATCAAAAAAGCTCACAGACCTGACCTCGCCTGTGGTGGCTCAAGACTCATCACGTGACCCGATATTTCAGGTAAAGTTCCTCCCAGCTTTGTAAACAAATGACTGGCAGAGTGTCACGACTTACAATGCTTAGCAAATTGTACTTTTTTTAAATCATTCTATGTATGGATCGCAGGAACAGATAAATAATGGCCGTTTGATAGAACTCACTTTATTTTGCTAAATCAAACATCAAGACAGATCAACAAAACATTTCACTTTATGAAATAAACTTTTCACAACTATAAAATAAACATTTGTAGAAAGGTGGGCATGAGCTTCTTCAGCAGCGAGTGGATTGGTGCAGGAACAGAGGGATTTAAGGCAGGCAAAAGTTATGGGCACCTAGGGTCCTGAAACCAGGAACAGCTGTCTGAAGACGGTGAAGAAGAGCACTTGTGTTTCCTTTTGCATAATTACATCTGACAAAACATTGCTGGCACACAACACTTTTGTTTACCGTTCTTTTTCCTTCTTTGTCATCTTTGCCACAAAAGCCAGCCCAAAAAAATACGCCGTTTCCTCATAGCGCAGACCATTCCTTCACTCGCTGAGTGAAACAAGAAAAGTCCCGCCCTCCTCTAACTTTAGCACTCACTGATTGTATATTTACACAAAGGAGCAATTCATTGATTGGATATTTGCTTTTTATTTACATTGATTGGACATGCGCTTCATTCCCTGAACTTCTCTGTATTCCCTTCCCTCCTTTACCTGAAACCCTCTTCTTCTTCTGTTACGATAGGTGTGCGGTCGTACCTTTAAAGGAGGGGGGAATAGTATCACAACTCGTTTCCCCTCTGTGTTCCCCTATCGGACACTGATCCTCCTCAGATGAGAATGAGACTCCTAGAGTTGACCTTCCTGTTATCTCTCGACCACCAGCAGACACATTACCTTCCAAATATGGACATTTATTATAGTCCCGCTCCCCACTTGAATGA